GCTATATTAGTCAAATTCAGCTCAAGAATCCAAACTTGGAAACTTTTAGCATGGAAAAACAACCAGAAATTCGACGTGCTAGCTGGAGTAAATTGATAAAGGATAGGAGGAGGCACAGAGGTGATTGAATAGCACACGAATTACTTCTAAGATGTTTCCAAATTCGAACGACCATCGTGTTTCTAATCATCTGAAGTTGCAAATAAAGGTTTAAAGTTTGTGTTGGGCCAAAGTTAGTGTCACTAAGCTTTAAGCATAATTTCCCCAAAAAACTATCACAGGTAATATTACAACAAATAATTCTTGAAATTAATTCCTGAATAAACTAAATTAATCTTCCTCAAAAAACTAAATTAATCGAATTTTCTTGAACAACCTTCTCGGTAGCAAATAATTTCGCAACGAAATTCATAAGCAGAAGTAAACCCAGAAATTAAACTATCACAATCATTAACCCCAGCCAAGCAATTATCCCTAATTGGAACAATTGGATTCATCAATTAGGGCTATAATTATAATTTCAAGATTATGACTTTTCAGCAACTAGATAAAAATTGAAAAGAAATTTTTTAAAAACCAAAATTTAATTTATCAATATTTTCTCAGAATCGCAAGCAAGTATTCAAATTTGGATAATTGGATTCATAAATTAGGGTTATATTATTAAAAAAATCAAAAAAACATTTGCACACAAAATACTAAATTAGCACAATACAATGATAATCACAAATATAAAATGAGTTTAGATAAGAGTATTACCTTATTTGGAAGTGGAAAAGTAGGAGATGAAGTCGGGAAAGATGCCATTAACAAATACTAATAAGCACACCTACAGAAACTATGTGTTTGATATTTGAGGTTGTATTTCTATTAATGATACTGTAGAAATAGAAAGATTAATGCTGATAAAGTTGTAACCAAGCAATAGTCAAGTGTTACTGTAGAACTTCAGGGAATATTTTTTTATTTTTTTTAAAAAAAATAAAAAAAAAAATAACAACATTAAGAAGCCTCCTCACGAGGAAATTCCTAATGTATCATAAGAAAGAATAGAAAATAAACTAGAGTTATTACAAGCATCAATATGCATAATACTACATACTAAATGGCCTACATTAGCTATTCAATCCGCTGCGCGATTTGCCTCTCGGTAGACGTGCTGAATACTTTAATTACGAAACCGAGAAAGGAGAGAACGAGTGTCTTCGATAATATGCTCGATCTGCCTCGATCTGCCAAGGTACTGCACAAATGTCTTTTATTGAGTTGATGACTAATAGGTTATCACCTTCAATTTCAATGTTCTGAATGCCGCATTGAAGAGCTAGTTGGACTCCTTTATGAAGAGTCGTAGCTTCCGCTATAAATACTTTGGCGTTGTCGAGGTTGAACGTAGATGCCTTGATGAGTGTTGTGGTGCTATCTCTGATGATGAATCCTACAGTTGTTGAGTTGTTACGAACCGAACCGTTGAAGTTGAGCTTGAAGAAGCCGTTGGGAGGCGTCTTCCATGATATAAGAATGGATGATGGGGATTGAATATGAGAAGAATGATTATGGGATCTCGGAATGGGAGATACTTCAGGGAGCATATTTGTGGCAGAAATGTGTATAAATGAACACAACAAAACCACTAGATACTCGTAGAGTCGTAATTTTTATTTTGTCTCAATTTATCTTATTAAAATATATTGAAATTTTTGGCTAAAAAAAAATAAATATTGAAAATTTAATCATTTTTTTGGTGTTTAAAGAGTCACAAAGGGTCGGGGTGAGAATTGATTCCAAGATTTTTTGGAATCGGGAGGGAAGCTCTAACCACTTGAGCTATTCCTCACACTCATAAATTCTTTAATTTTTGTAGTCTTAAACTTATTTTGTCGAACAACTAATTATTAAATTATTAAATTTTTGTAGATAAGTAAGGTATATATTTGCATATATGAAAATAATTTAACTCTTTTCTAAAAAAAAAAAAAAAAAAAAGGAAAAAAATAAAATAATTTAACTCGATATGAGAAATTTGTGAAAATTTATGCTTATTGAAATACATACACTTACACGTTGACTTTTATAAGTCATACGGAATACTATTTATGTTCTTAAATACTTGTTACATTTGTGTTTGTAACTTGTAAGTAGTTTAGGAAGATTTGCGGGTAGTATATAGAAATGAATATATGATGTGCAAATGGCTTGTTTGGTATCGTTTTTTGTTTTCAGTTTTTTATTTTTTTTTAAAACAAAAAACCAAAAACAGGAAACAAGAAAAATGTATTTCCACTTTTCTGTTGTCAATTTTCAAAATTATCATGGTTTTAATAAGTTTGACCAATTTTTGCTTCATATATCATATGATTGTGAAAAGCTAAAAACTAAAAAATAGAAAACCACAACGATACCAAACGGACCCGAGTTAATGATGGGCAAGTGTCAAAATAAAAAATTTTGCATGCAAGATTGTTAAAAAAAAAAAAAAAAAAAAAAAAAAAAAAAAGGTTTGCAAGTATATATTTTGATACAATTAAAAATAAAAAAGTATTGTACTCTCTCCGTGTTTTAATAAGTGTTACACTTATCAAATACAGTCGTGTTATAATAAGTGTTACTCTTCCCTTTTTTTTTTTTTGTGCAAAAAAACTACATTTTAATATTATATCTTTCGCTACTCATGGTTCCTTCCCAAATCTACTATTACTTTTTTTTTTTTTAATTTCTTTCCTCTCATATTAATTACTTTTTAATAAATATTGAATCAAATAAAACTTTCCTTTATAAAACTACGATCGTCGAGTAAATTTTGCACTATGGAACATCTCCCGTTTATATCACTGTAAAATACAGCCTTATTGAGAGACAATTTAACGATCCTTTGTAGCCATGAGGGTGGAAATAATATTTTTGGAGAATAAGGATTTGTTAACCTTATTATTATTTTAGGTTAAATAAGAAAATTTAAGTTCAAATCATACTTTATTGTGTGTTTTTTTTATTGTTAAACATTTTTAGTTTTATAATGGAAAATTATAAAAATTACAAATTTGAAAATACATATTTATAAAAACCTAACTAGACCTCATATATAAGATCTCATTTGATGTACATTTTCCTTATGGATTAGCGTACATATAAGATTAATTAAGCCATCAAAAGATCAGATCAGATTATAAAATATAAATTCAAATCAAATCAAATCAACTTACGTAATGTGAATTAAGCGTAGCCTAAAGCAGGTAGAAAGGCATGCAAGATTTTAGAGAGATAGGGGGAAATATGTATGATGAGTTGTATCTTGAGGCAACTACTTGTTGGATAATCAAGTAGTGTCACAACAATGAGTGGCGAGCTTATCTCACTCAACACTTAAACATTCTTAATACTCCTTTCATTTGAAAATAAATGACCCAATTTAACCTTTTGCACTAATTATATAATCCACTCTGACTAGCTAATATTACGGAGTAGTGATTTATGTATAAGATAAAAATAGTCATCATATGGTTACTTGTGGAATTGTTTTAATGTATTGTTTTCGAATATCAACTTTTATAAATATTGATAATTAAAGGGTTTTTTTTTTCTTTTTTTTTTTTAATACGTGCCCAATAAAAAGCTAAAGCAATTATTTATTTTGAAACAAAGGTAGTAACAATAAATGATTAGTACAAATAATACTCTACTATAGTCCTATGCCAAAATAGGAAGCCAAGTGTAGTCATTCAAAGTCTCTAAGATAGCTGAAATAAGAAGATGTGAGTTTTTAGGAACAAATAGCGTTAAGTTTAAAAAAGAAAAATCTATATCCATTTTTTAAAAATTTAAGCTACACTATTCAGGTTAATTTTTTTTTTTTTAAAAAAGAATTGCTTACCAATTAATTATATGATATTAAATCATTAACTAAAGAGTAAATTAAAACATGTGAAGTTTTCAAGATATATTCAAATCAAAAGTAAAAGAACGAAGAAAAGGTAAACAATATCACATAAGATTACAACAAAATCATACCAATAATCAAAAGATATAATAAAATCATACATTTGTATTTTAGAGAGATTTGGATTTATCTTACATGAATTCTCCTTTAGAATTTCCCATTATTCTTTTTTTATTTTTTTTATTTTTTAACATAAAGCTACTCATCCAAATAGTTCATGATGTCACTTTTTTTTTTCCTTTTAAAATATAGTGTATATACATATAGTCTTCACTCCTCTCTCTTTCCATTTTTGCTTTAGGAAGCTACATCCCCCTTTCCCCTATTTCCAAACGTTTTGTAAATCCTTAACATATTTAAATATCTCCATAAAAATAATTAAATAGATAAACTCCCAACCGCGTACAGCACGTGTCTGTAACTTAGTATCCTTACTGATTTTTCTAATCAATTAAATTACTTAATTCTAATCCTGATTTATTCCCTTATTTGTTTAACCAATAGTACTTTATCATTAATAACAACAGGATATCTTATGTGATTGTTTCAAATATTAACCCATTTTAGCACTAATTAGATTTTGTTTTTATCATTAATTTTACTTTGACTCACCTCTTTTAAGTTAACTAAGCATAGAAGTATTACCTCCATTTCTTAATATTCTTTTCAATCACCATTATCTAATAAAATCTTCTTAAATTAGTCGAAAAGTATATTTCAGATGAACAAACAGTATGTACTCAACGATGAGAGAGATTAAGGAGTAAAAAGAGTACTTTTGGCGCGGTGACATAAATTAAAAAAAATACTCCATTTATTTTGTAATAATTTCAACAATTTTATTTTACGTCCGTTTTATAATAATTGAAACACTTTATCATTTAATAAGTTTTCATTATTATTACTCTTTTCTACTAACATCATTTACACTACTTTTTTTTTTCTTTTTTTCTTCGTATTATTTATTCCTTCTATCAACCAATTAAATAAATCTACACTAACTATATTATAGGAGTATTATATAATTTTCTTTTTGGTTTTCACCCTATAATATCATTTGTGCAATAAGAGTAATTTATCTTTTGATGCACAGAAAACTTATTGTAACTCATTTTATATAAAACGCGAATAATAAAAAAAATGAAAATAAACAATAAAAAGAAAAGAATCAAGATATGGTCATACATGAGTCACAATCGGAGACACTGGAATCTTCCTTCAATGCGTTCACACTTTTCACACGCTTCCCTTTAATATTTTTGCATATAAATTCACCTCATTTTCTCTCTCCTTCAATTCAACTCCATCTTTCTCCGTTCACATTTCTTTGCTCTCTCATTTTCCATCTTTCTCCATTTCAAATAAATACAACTCTTCTTTTCTTTAATTTATATAATCAATCTCATCAATTTTATATCTCATGGAAATTTCTTCATTTCCTTTCGACGATTTATCTCAGTATTACCCGACACCTTATCCTGAAATCGCAGCTAATTCTCCCGTCGATTCTTCTCCGTTGAAAAAACAGAGATCCGAAAGCGAGAGTGTCGATTTTTTCTTAAACAATACGGATACGGGTACGATTAAGGATATCCTTGCCTCCGTACTTATATTCGGAGACGAGGATGATCAGAACCATTCCCATTCCCATTCCGGAATGGAAATGGTTCCGGAAAATTACAATTTTACCCTTACTAACAACAATAATGAAAATCCAATTCAAAACCAAAATCATGAAATTCAGTCGGCTGAAGCAGAAGTAGCAGTAGTTGCTACTGCTGCTCAGCCGAAGCGAGGATTGAAACGCTCTCGCAATGTGGGTCAATCCTCGACACCAGCACCAGCACCGGTGGTGAATCGTAGGATGTGGGTGAAGGATCGATCGAAGGACTGGTGGGATAAATGCAGCCACCCGGATTACCCAGACGAGGAATTCAAGAAGTCGTTTCGAATGAGCAAGGCTACATTCAACATGCTATGTGATGAACTCGACCCTCTTATTAACAAAAAAGATACAATGCTACGAGCTGCAATCCCGGTCCGTCACCGGGTCGCGGTTTGTATCTGGAGACTAGCAACAGGCGAACCACTTCGAGAAGTATCGAAGCGGTTCGGTCTGGGGATATCCACATGCCACAAACTCGTCCTTGAAGTTTGTACCGCCATTAGAAATACGCTAATGGCTCGTTTTCTCCAATGGCCCGATGACACTAAATTGGACGCCATCAAGGAGGAGTTCAAGTCTAAAACCGGGATTCCGAATGTGGGTGGTGCGATTTACACCACCCACATTCCGGTCATAGCACCGAAGGCGAACATTGGTGTGTACTTTAACAAGCGACACACCGAACGTAACCAAAAGACGAGTTACACCGTTACACTACAAGGAATGGTGGATCCTAGCGGGATATTTACTGATGTTTGTATCGGGTGGCCTGGGTCGTTCTCCGACGAACATGTTCTTGAGAAATCGGCCTTGTTCAAGCGGGCAAGCCGCGGCTTGATGAAGGATATGTGGATGGTGGGCAACTCAAGCTATCCGTTAATGGACTGGGTGTTGGTACCATACAGTCACCAAAACTTAACTTGGGCACAACATGCTTTTAACGAGAAAGTTGGGGAAATTCAAAAAGTGGCAAAAGACTCGTTTTATAGACTTAAGAAGAGGTGGGGTTGTTTACAAAAAAGGACTGAAGTTAAGTTACAAGAGTTGCCTATTGTACTAGGAGCTTGTTGTGTTCTTCATAATATTTGTGAGATGAGGAAGGATGAGATTGTTGGTGATCCCGGGAACTCGTTCGAGCTTTTCGACGATGAGGTCTTGCCGGAGAATGTTGCGAAATCGTTGACGGCGGTCCAGGCTAGAGATCAAATTGCTCATCATTTGTTACACCATGGCTTTGGTGGCAATACTTTTCTATAGCTTTAGCTAAGGTTTTTTCTTATATTTATGTCATTCATACAGTTGTATTAGAGAATTCAAAGAATAGAAAATAGGAATGTAGGTGGGATATAGAAGTGATGTAATTGGGAAATGGGTGTATACCATGTATTAAATTGATTATGTTACATTACTTTATAAAAATTTACCATATTTACAGTCTCACAGATATATTATGTTGGTGCATTATTGTTAATTTGCTAATCTAATTTTATGTTAAAGTATAAGATTTGTGTCATTGTGTCTCATTAATTTAATTATGTGTCTTAATTACTTTAGCACCAAAACTTAGCTTCAAAGTATACTACTGTATATTTATGTGGGCTAAACTTGCTGAGCTTTCGGATAGCATATTACTTAAACACAATTTGTAAGTGAATAGATGAAGTTAACTGATTCATGTTGCATTAGTTAGAATATTTTATATTATTATTGCCACACTACAGTACAAATATTCTACTTCGTATGTACTATAAGTAATTCGGTTTCAAAATAAAAACCCCACTTTAATCGGCACATTTGCTAACGCGGAACATTGACTAAAAATATTTCTCATTATCAATAAGTATAAATTACAAAGTATAAAAAGTTGATATATGAAAACTATGTCAAATGTTGTATGTAAATACTAAATAATGTAAAAGTCAAAGTATTCCATAGGACACTTACAATGGATGATTTTTTGTTACAATTCTTTCCATAATGTGTTATGTGATCCAGTTCATTTATAATACAAAACGGCTCACAATTAGAGTACGCAAGTTAATCTCCTTCAAATATGTTAATCAAATGGCAAAAATGTAAATAAATTAACAAATTTTTCTTACAATTGGACTCTACAATTGTTAATATATATAATAATTAAGAAAAAGACATGTTCATTTAATCCCCAACAACTGATTACTATATTAAGGTATGTTTTATTCACTTGATTTTCACTTCTCTGAATTTATTTAATCTTATCTTATCTTAATTATTTTATCTAAACTTATTTGCACTTATTAGACATAAAAACTTATTTTAATTGTAATTTGGACTTGGGAGACTCTTATTAATTATTATCGAAACTTATTTTTCTTGAACTTAGAGCCTATCTTGACTTATAAGACATGAAATAGGTGATAAGGTTAATAAAACTTGGCCTAAAATCTATAAAGAATTAAGTAAAGTTTTTTTTATACATCCATCACTCCTTAAGGATGAAATAAGTGATAATAAGGTGAATGAAACATGGCCTAAAATCTATAAAGAGTTAAGTAAAGTTTTTTTTTATACATCCATCACTCCTTATGATTTGTCCCATTTAATTTTTTTCATTAATTTCAATGCACATCTTTAATTACGCATAATTAAAAATTATAAAAGCTTAATTTTTTTTTCTACAAATCGAAACAAACGAAACAAGACTATATACTTCCTCTGTTTTTTTAAAAAAAAAATAGTTGCAACACTTCTCTTTTCACGCTTGTCGATCATGATTTCAATCGTTAATATCTTTAATTACCAATATGTAAAAATTATAAACATTTGATATTAAAATAGTATAAATCGAGACGAATCTAATAAGATCCCACATGACTAAATTTTTACTTAGGTATAAATCATGAAAGCTAGCCAAAGTAAAAGACATGAATAGAGTAAAAGTCAAACTATTACAACTAAAAAAAAAAAAAAACGGAGAAAGTATGAAATAAGTTTTACTTATATATCGATGAATAATCATGGTCTAAATTTCTCAATTTTTAATTGGAATCTTACAAATGGGATAGAGCGAGTCCCACATAAATCAAGAAATACAAAGGTGATGTCATAAATCGAAGATGCTTGCATCACATGACAAACACAACAAACTAGTGAAAAGAACCGCGTACATACGATACACGACTTGGATAATTGAAGCAAGAAACAAGACCAATAGTGTTACATAACATGTGTAAAGGTGTAATGTGTGGTGTAATGTGTTAAAGACTTAATGTTGACGATACCAATACATGTTTTTTCACCACTATTAGAATTTCGGCTGTCAAACACAACGGTCAACTGTTTACAGCTACACCTTAACTTCCTCATATCCCAAATTCATTGTTTTTTGGGGTTTGAATTTTAATTATTTAGTCAAATAATTTAATTAGTCGATATCCGTAGTACATGTTGTACTATTGCATTGCATAATTAGTTATTGTCATTTATGGTTGATAATCACGTGAAGCTTCTCTTAGTTTGGAGCCCACTTTTATGTCTTATTGTTATTCCTTAAAGAGTCATTTTCATTTGACTTGAACAATTTTTAGTTAGTAGTCAACGTGTCGTGTAGCCGTGTAAGGAATACCGAGTACGAGAAAATGTTATTGTGTGCCATCTTTTATGATTGCTATGTTGAGTAGTTATTGTGTGTGTAATGACCACTAATATAATGACTATTATCTAAGTATTCATATTATTCTCTGTTTCTCTTCTAAGTTTATATTTGTGGAATTGTAGTAGCTACTAAATGATATACTCCGTAATAAATAACGACAAATAAACGAATGGTTAGCGTTATTTTTAGTATCGGCGACTTTAAGTAGTGTGCGTGTTTTTGAGATCATATCTTCACTTAATTTTTTATTAATTAAGTAATTCAGGTCAAATTTCAAATAAAATTCTCTCTGCCTCTAATTGTTATTTCTGTTTGAATTTTTTCACTGTGATTGAAACATTTGTTTTGAAGGTAATAAATAGATTATTAGTATTGTTAAAAGTGGAGGAATATACTCCGTATATGATTTATTAAAAAAAGGGGGGGGGGGTATTAGTTGAGTTTGGATTGATGGTAATTGAAGAATGGAGCAAAATAGAAGTGGGTAAATGGAAATTGAACATTAAATCATTAAATGAGTTGACACATTTTTTTGGTGCAAAATGAGAGTAATATATGAATTTATTTTAAAATTATGAGGGTAATTTAGGGACAAAAGATAAAAGAAAATTAAAATAGGATCAACATTTTTTTTACAAGTCGTACAACCAACTAGCTAGGAAAATAGGAACAGTAAAAGAGATAGATATATATCAAATAACATGGTTTTTAACAACTGGTCTGGATTAGCTAATCGAACACTGAATTTAAATTGCACAATTTTTGTAAATATTTTTTTCATGGCATGTGCCTTTAAGTTAATTAGGTTCGGTTTTTAACGGGTAGATTTTTCAGAGTTAAATTTGAGTTGAGTCATTGTTTGACGTGACTAGTGCTACCTCAAAGAAATAATAGACACAACTTATCTTAGAAGTGATTAAGAAAAGAAATTAGTGCGTTTCGAGATTCCACATTGGATTGGAAAGGGGAGTAGTGTTTGGGGTAAAAATTACCCTGCCACGTGGCCCAATAAGGGCCTGACACGTGTCACCCTCATACATGCCCAAGGGGATCCTATCAGAGGATGCCACGTGGCATTGAACCCCCAATGGGGAGCAGATTCTCATCTGCTATAAATAGAGGAGTTATCCTCATTTATTGGCATTCAAAAATACATACACAAAACCCGAGCAATATTAATTGCGGAATCTCTCTGAATCGAGGAGAAATATCTATTTACTTTCCGCACATTTACCCGTCCGTAATCATACTAACTTGATCGTCGGAGGCGGAACTCCACCCAACCGGAGTTTCGTGGTTTAATAGGTACAGAAGTCAGGCGCGCATACTCCGTATTGTAACTCTCCCGAGGGACCAAAAACACCCGAAACATTTGGCGCCGTTTGTGGGGAGAGTACTACTGAGATGGCATCTGATGTTGTACCAAATGTAGAGGGCAACCGGCCTACAGCTGACCCTGAGGTCCATACGGACCATGAAAGTGGTAATGGTGACGACTACAATGTCGAAACCTACATGGCCCCAGACGGGTCATTCCGCTCTAGGCGCACCCATTCCAAAGAAAAGAAGGAACGGGGCCAAGATAAAGCTTGTCTCAACAACCTAGGCGGCAAGCACCCTGGACAACCCCAGGCGGCGGAGGGGACTGCCCCCATCACCAGAGACGAACTCATGAATCCCATGACTAGTTTCAAGGGGGAAATTAAAGACATTATTAAGAAGTCAGCGGGCTCCAGCAAGGGTCAGTCGGCAAAGAAGCCTTCTCCCTTCGGGAAGAAGCAAATCAAAGACCGAGTGCCTACTCCCCATCCCAAACCCAAAGGGATGGATGGGCCCCTGATCGACCTCTCCAAACTTCGTTTCCCTGAATCAGGGCAGCGGAAGGCCATCCGGCATACACAGCCGGATGGGTCAAAGAAGACTTTCTCTGACGCTCGGTTGTTCATCCAGGAGAAGAGAAGTCAGAGCATGTCGCAGTCGGCCTCAACGTCGACCTACTCGGACAGTTTCCGAAATGCTTCAATGAAGCACTCGGAGACGCAGCAAGGGAGTCAGTCGCGCGGCGTGTCCGCACGTACTGGACCTCACGTGATCCAGCAGGCCCCGTATGTTCCCCAACAGCAATACGCCCCGTATGGATCGCCATTCATGCAGTCGGCTCCCTTCGGTGGTCAGGCGGCATACCAGGTCCAGCCTATGGACTGGCAGCTCCGGCTGCTAAACCTTGGAGAACAGCCTTCGGCTTTCTCCCGGGAAATAACCGAGGCGGCCCAGCCGGCCAAGGTTAAAAATGTGTTGGTTGGTGCCTACGACGGGGTACCACCAACCCGGAAGACCACCTAATGGCATACACCAACCTGATGTACCTACAGGGGTTGGATGACGCCGCATGGTGCAGATGCTTCCCGGCTACATTGAAGGGCATAGCCCAGCGATGGTTCTGCAACTTGCCAGCTGGGTGCATCAACAACTTCAAGACGCTTGCATACCTGTTTGCTTCCAACTTTTCCATGAACATCCCTGCTAAAAAGACAAGTCTCGACCTAGGGGTTATCCAGCAGGGTGACAAGGAGGGACTTCGGTCCTACGTCAGGCGGTTCAATCTGATGAGAATTCAGATTCAGGGGTTGTCTGACGAAGTTGCATACACAGACTTCTTCAATGGTCTGAAGGATGGGTCAACTTTTAAATTTGACCTGGTCCGCAAGAGGGTAGCTACCCTCCAGGAGGCGTTGATGGAGGCGGAGGCCTATATACAGGCAACTGAACTCTACGCCATCAAGATCCCGTCAGAACCCAAGCGGTGTGACAG